CAACCCCCCCCCCCCCCACACACACACACACACACACTTATTTTATGGAGATGATGAGATGGGGAGGTGCAGAGTGCAATCACTGTACAGCACTACTAAGCAGGAACCAGAGCCTGCATGGCTAATGAGCACATATCGCTGTTCCTATCTACATGGATAATTCAAGCAGGGCTGATGCCAAAGCTTTTTTTAGTTTTGGATAGAGTAAGGGAAGGTTTTTTCAGATTTGTTTTTGCCATTGGGGAGATTTCCCTTGACTTCCAATCTGATAACCACAACAGGAAGTGAGGAAAAATCCCTCCAAGGAGAGGGAAATCCCTGATGGTCAGTAGGGTCACCGAAACTAGTGTCCCCAATGGAAGATTTCCCATTTATTCTAGCTGAAAATGTGGGATTTTCTTTCAGTAATAACATTTGTCAGGACAAATAGAGGGGGTGAAAAATATGGGAGATTGTGTTTTTTACCCATCCTATGTTCAGTATGAATTGCTCAGGTTAAGACTGTTTTACTTTAAAGGGGAAGAACTCCAAAACAAATAACTTCTGTTATTATTAAATTAAGAGCATCAACTAGCTGCAGTTTCCTATGGTGACCACTAGAGGCCGCCATTACCCAATAGAACAAGTATAGAGTACAACATTGTACCACTGGCACTGCCAGTATGTTTCAGGTTCCACAGCCTATTATAGCTTGACTATTACTTGCTTTAAAATCTATAGTTCTAAGAGCAGAAATGTATTAATTTCTACATAGAATTTATTGATAATTACATCTCAGATACTGAAGCTTGTAGACCTGCTTATATGCAAATGAGCTTATCTCCTAAATTAGACATGGGGAGCTCCCAGCAGATATGAATAAAGTAATTAAGTATTCATCATTAATAGAAAATAATGAAATGTATTTTTAAATGCAATTAGTGTCAGTATCTAAATGTGTGAGATATCAGCCTTGGCACAGCAGGAATCCAATTGGGAAGGCCAACACTGGGGGCCAATCGGGTTCTACAGATCTCCTCTCTGGTCTGCTGTTACTCCATTATTGAATCTAAGAGTGTGCCCTTCATCAAACTGTACTGATGATATTGCACTGGAGATCGAAAGTCTATCTATCTATCTATCTATCTACCATTATTTATCTATCTATCTATCTATCTACCATTATCTCTATTATATATTTATCTATCTATGTATCTATGTATTTATCTATCTATCTATTCATTATCTCTCTCTCTCACTACCCATCTGTTATCTATCTATCTATCTATCTATCTATCCATGTATTCATTATCTCTCTCTCTCACTACCCATCTGTTATCTATCTACCTACCATTATCTCTATTATCTATTTATTTATCTATCTATCTATCTACCTAACTATTCATTATCTCTCTCGCTCTCTCGCCCTCTCTCTCTACCCATCTGTTATCTATCTATCTATCTATTCATTATCTCTCTCTACCCATCTGTTATCTATCTATCTATCTATCTATCCATCTAACTATTCATTATCTCTCTCTCTCGCCCTCTCTCTCTACCCATCTGTTATCTATCTATCTACCTATCTATTTAGCTAACTATTCATTATCTCTCTCTCTCTCGCCCTCTCTCTCTACCCATCTATCTATCTATCCATCCATCCATGTACCCATTGGTCTATCGCCAATCTAGTAGTCCTGGCATGGAAGCAGAATTGTCTGTAGCAGGAAATGGATATCACGATTTTATATCAGTCTGTATTGAATAGCGATGGCGTCTCCTGGGAGCCATTGACTGCTTAGTGAAGTCACACTTCATCTTGTGAATCGTGACTGTTCTGCTTCCCTGGGGACCATATGAGGAGGGAGGTCTTCATTCCACATGCCAGCTCCTCTTCTCGGCTTCTCAGGATTAATTCTGTGTGTGCTTTCTATAATAACAGCAGACTGCTTTTCAGCCAACCCAGCCACTAATAATTATAAGATTATTTCTACATGGGCGGTAGAATTTTATGACGTTCGTGTCGGAATGATCTACCGTCTGTATGAATTATCTTCTCTTTTCTACTAATTTAACTAAGCAGCAACTCCAATCAGCTTGTTAATGCAGTTGGGGAATGGCTAAAGATATCTGGAAGCTTTATAGCCATGATTAGGTCAGAGGAAGGGTTCCATGTTCTCAGTCTTCACTTCAAACTGAAATGCCTGATTTAGGGTCTGCCTTGTTTTGGATACAGTAGGAAAGGGATAGCAACCCTGTTATTTTTAATTACTGTCTGTGTCACCACTGAAGAGGTCCTCTCTATTACTCCCGGTGACCACGACTGAAAATGTGGGAAAATCCAAACATTGGAGTTACCAATTCTCATCGATCATAATACATCATATTAAACAACATTTCCAACATTGGAACCTTAAACCTGCAGCTGATCAGGAGAAAGGTTCCAACAGGAAACTCATTCCTTCCCGAATTCCAGAAGGCAATCGGTCAAAGTCAATTTGAACAAAAGTTTTGTGGTTTTTCACGCAAATGCAGGGCCCAAAAGTTGCAAATCCTGACTGTTTCCCTTTGAGGCCACTAATTAAACCTCACCCTTGCAGCCCCACAGTGCATACCCTGCATTTAACTTTCACAGAGGTAGATAGTCTTAGTAGCCTCTTGCCAATATCTGGCAAACCTCCAGGGAACCCCACATGTCCACCGGCATATTTGCAGCCAATCCACTTGTATGGCAAATGAAGGGTCCTCTTCCAGGTGGTGTACTGTCCGCCATGCAGCCATAGATGGCCACGCCATGTCTCTTCCAGAAAAATGCTCCTGTCGTTTTCTGCACAAAGCGCTCATGCACCAACTCCACTCCAAATTCAAATTCCAGTCAACAAGCAGAAACACTTTACTGCACACCTGGGATGTAGAAAGTAATTTGTTGATAAGAGGACCTGTCACACCATTACAATTCTATTAAACACTACAGCATGGTGTAGGCAACTTCAGCACTCCAGGTGTGGTGAAACTACGAGTCCCATGAGGCACTGCAAGCCTCTAACAGTGACGGGCATGACTCCCAGAGGCAGGGACATGGTGGGATTTGTAGCTTCACCACAGGTGGAGTGCCAGGGTTGCCTACCCTTGCAATACAGAATCAGCGATGGCAAAGGCTGGCGGGCTAGGTGTAAAGATTACACAAGAAAGGGAATAAAGTACTTTCTGCTGTTTTATTTGAGCTGAAAATGAACAGGGTGGAATCTTAGTTGGGGGAAGCAGAATCACAAGCAGCTGGTCTCATTATCCATGTGGTCTCGTTCTCAAAGATTACTGTGATTACAAGTCCCATTTGGCACAATTCATTATATACGCTGGGAATTCAGTTTTAAAGAAGAAACACAGAACCAAACCTCTTTCACTCAAATTACTTATTACTGTATTATGGTAGGAGTAGTAGTCATTAGCAAAGACAAAGGTTTTTACATGTCAAGAGGAACCCCAACAAAACAAAACACTTTCTAGAGTTTAATGGAAGAATGGTCTAGATCTCTAGAAATAATTATTTTACACAATATGCTAATTATCTGATCGCCTAATCTAGACAGCCAGGATAATTTGGTTTCTGTACTCTCCCAACTATAATATAGGTCAGATGGTGTCGGTTCCTGCCTCTACCATGGCAGTATTGGTAATATTGGGCACGAGATAAGAAGCCTAATTAGGCAACAGAGCTTTACTTTTACTCCTGGTTCATACATGCTCACCTTTAATAGGCTGAGTAGGAGGCATGACCACCCACAGGTCCTGTTCTGTTGAGGCTGTTCACAAGTGTATGACTGTTGGAGCAATGAAGGTCCACTGAATGAAAGGAGGACTCAGAAAAGGCTCCACAATGACAAAGTACTTATTATTTACTGTGTAGTGAATGACGTGTATTGTAGTGTATATATCTATATATCTATATATACAGTATATATATATATATACACACACTGAGTGGCCGTATCTTCTCTGGGAACAGTATAATCAACAGAGTTTGTATTGCTATAATAATCAGTCTTCTCTTCCTGAGATCAATGGTCACTTTGATGTGCTAGAAACTGTACGCAGAGGTGGTGCCTTGGGAATGCCAGGGCTGTTGTTGACATAGGAAGACAATATTTATTTAAGACTGTTCTCGTGGACAGCATATAGCTGAACATTAATTTATGGCAGCTTCAGTTGCCATCCAATCACTGTCATGAGAAAG